GTAACTTGCTGAGGACACTTTTAGTCGTGATAATACGTATTTATACTGATTTACAACTAAAATACATATAAATGTCAGATTCTGTGCATCAAGTATCTGATTTATAAATGTGTTCTTCATGAAGCCCGATAGACACAGAGTCCGGCCTAAAGGGAACAGTGATGTTTCTTTAGTTTCTGGTCGTCTTGAAGCTAAAAACTGAATTTAGGTTTTTTTTTACCAGTAAAACAATTGATCAAATAATAAAATGCTAAATTTTTCTAAAAAATACGTTTGAGGGACATAAAATATATTTTTACAAAATCCATAGCTTTGAAGACTGTGAAAAAATATATATGTTTATTAAATTATATATGAAGACATTGAAGTATAAAATGAGCAAAAACATTATTTCAACAGTTTCACCATTTACTAAACACACTTTGACCTTTGACATAAATGCCAATAAATTGGGTATAATTTATTAAAGTTAAGGTTCAGCCTCTGAAACCTCTGCTGCTCTGTGACGTCACGTTAGGAACAGAAGAAGAACCGACTTCCTGTTTACGACGCTAATCGAGTTAAAAACCACGAGGACGCAATTCACCCCAAAATCACAGATTGGATCCAGTCACAAGTATCAGCCACACATTCCTTTCCTGCTTCTACGTTGGAGACGACTTTAGTGTCACATTAGTTAAAAAGGCCCACTGACGTCTCAGTTGTTCTTATTCGTCTACAAAAGCAGATTAATGTGAATTGAAGCCAGAATGTGTTTTTATTAATAATCTGAATAGATGCCGTTGCATCGGCGTTAAAATACATTCATTCATTTATAATTTATGATGAATTATTTATAAATGATTTAATATCCAATGCTATAGATTAGGTACATTTATTCATTTATTTCGATATATATACGTGTGTGTGTGTGTGTGTGTGTGTGTACTCCTACTCACAGTGAATATAATTATTTTATATTATATATTTTTTTTTAATACTACACCAAATGAATTAACTTGTGTTAAATAAAACAACATTATGGATCAGTACATGAGAGGAACTGAGAGCTGTGAAAGTTTAGAAACAATCATTTCTCCCACATTACTGATAACTTGAACTGATCGATCGATCGATCGATTGATTGATTGATTGATTGATCGATCGATTGATCCTCCGGAGCTTTTACTCACTGTAGATGTTTTCTCAGGGAACGACGAGCTTAATCGACCCGGACCTCAGGAGCCGGAAGAGACGCTCACCTGTCGGACGGTTCCTCGTCCTCTAACGTCACGCGCACGATCTACCTGTGACGCGCGCGCGGGGATCAATACGAAATAACGTCCCGGCTTAAAATGATCAAATGTAACTTCCTCCTCTCGGGACTTTACTTCGTCTCCCCAAAAACTTCCTCTGCTTCCTGAACTCACGCCCTCCACGTGACTGCGCACGCGCGCTCCCTGTCAGCGCGAGCTGGTGCGGCGGCTTCCTGTGACGCGCACCTGCTGACTCACCTCCGGAGAGTGACGTCATTGACTCGCCTAGCGCGCGAGCTCGCGTTGTGACTTGTTGTTGTTGTTGTTTCCTCCTTGATGGACGATGATGTGAATTCAGAAATTGAAATTTGATATTTGAAATCAGCACAAACGGACGTTTTATTGATTAAATAAATTCCAAACTTTTTTTTAGCTCAAAAAGTTGCCTTGTGGTAAACGTGAGGCGGTCGGTCAGCGTCTCTGCGTCTCCATGGAGACGCAGAGAGAAGAAGATGATGCTTCTCCTTCATCGCCCTGCTGAGAAACAACGTTAACACCCAATAACTCATTTTAAAACCAACACGTTGAACCTGATGTGAAGAAACAAAAGCTTATAAAACAAAACAAATGTGAAAAGTGAAATTCAGAAAACCACATGAATCTAAAGCTTGATGCAACATTCGACGTCTGCATAGATCGACTAGATGAGCAACTTGCCCTCAGTTGGAAGGTTCTTGGTGTTGTTTTAGTTCTAAATAATATTCTCTATAGTATTTTTTTAAAATCCGATACTTTTCTTTTTTCTAGTACTTGTGCATATATACGTAATATTAGTGTTGTCATAGTATAGTGAATACATCAGGTGTTAAAGCTCTGAAATGTCATTGAGTAAACGTCTAAATAAAAACTAAACCATGAAAACCAAACTATTTATAAAATGTGGTATTAGTACGTTAACCTCACTAGAGGATTTAAACGAACATAAAACATTCGGCGCACGTCTCTGGACTGTGGGAGGAAGAACCCGGAGAACCCGGAGAGAACCCACGGGTTCCTCCCACAGACGTGCTCTGGGGGTCGGGCTGGTTGGACTCTGAACGGCCCGTCGGTGTGTGAGTGGTTGTGTGTCTCTGTGTTGGCTGGTGACCAGTCCAGGACGGACCCGTCTATCACCTGAAGTCGGCGGGACAGACTCCAGCCCCCCGGTTGATGATGGGGGGATAAAACATTCAGGAAAACACAAGGTTTCCTTCGTCATGAGAGCATGATCACAGTAACTCTTTGAAAGGGGAGGAGTTTGACCTTTGACCTCTGAGCAGCTGGGGGACTGAGTCTCGGTCGGGACAAACTCTGATCTCTGTCCACCTCCGACCGGCAGACCGACTACAACATGGACAATATGCAGAATGTGGACGAGCTCTTCAAACCCGGGTACGTCCCAGAGAGCCAAGATGCTACAATGCTATAATGCTACAACGCTAATGCTAATGCTACAATGCTATGATCGTACAGTGCTACGGACGAGTTGTCTGTCTCATGGTCTTTAGTACAGTCAAAGATAACATGAAGATCCAAACAGCGTTTTTTAGAGCTAAATAAGACGTAACATTTCAGATGAGATGCTTTCAAATTATTTATTCTTTTATTACCGAATCCCACATGTTGGTGTAGATGTTGTTTTGTGGCAAATCATATTTAATACATTTTAAGTAAAACATGGAAAATACTTCTTCCATTATTGAGCTCTTTTTATGAAATTGTTTGTTTAGTTCTCTACTTTATAAACTGATTTAGTTGTTAGATGATTTCCACCTCCAGAACATTCCGAAACTAATCATTGACATAATTACAATTAAAAGAGAATAATGAAGTAATCCTTCTGCATAATAATAATGTTTCAGTTGCAATACTACTGCTTGTACTTAGATGAAGTACTCCAACACTTGGCTGATATTTATAGCCGAGGCTGC